TACGTACGTACGTATCTATCTATCTACCTACCGTCCTAGCCCTTGAGCTCACTTCACCTAAGCCCTGCACCTGGGGTAGAGGGCCTCGCACAGGGTTTATCAAGAACTTAGGCTGTACTTTGGAAGTCTGGCTTCGGACATGTCCGAAGCAAAGAATGCTATCAGCTATAAATAGATAAACAAATACAGAAATAAATGAGTATATGTATATATATATATATATGTATGTATATACATATATGTTGCGACTTTCAGGAACCCTACACCCTAAACCGGGTTTACATGTTGGAACCTTCAGTGTAAAGGTTAGAGTCTCGAACGGACGACGCGAAGCCCTGAGTCAGGCAAGTCTACATTCTGAACCACAAACCGCGGTTTAGGGTTTAGGATTTAGGGAAGCCCAAAAACTCTGGGTTTAGGGTTCCGGCTCGGGGCCCTCATACCTTGAAAATTATAGGGGCCTGAATATTATGAATGAAGGCCTTTTCTGGAATTAACGGGTATTGGGTTCTCTGGGCAATTACCCCAAACCCCGAACCCTGAACTCTAAACCCCAAGTCCTGAATCCTAAACCCAAAACCCTGAACCGAAAACCCTAAACCCCAAACGACAAACCGCAAACCCTAGACCCTAAACCCTAAACCCTAAACCCCAGGACCTGTCGGACGTCTTTGGGTCTTCTTTGGGGGGAATGCCATGCTGGCTGCTGACTGGCTGGCCTTCTGTCCGGATCCCAAGTTTAGGGTTCGGGGCTAAGGGTTTAGGTATTAGGATTTTAAAGTTTACGCTTGAGGGTTCAGGGTTTAGTGGCCTTCTGTCCGGATCCCCGGTTAAGGGTTCGGGGCTAAGGGTTTAGGCGTTAGCTAAGTTTAGGGTTTAGGGTTTAGGTGTTAGCTAAGTTTAGGGTTTAGGCTTTAGGGTTTAGGTATTAGCTAAGTTTAGGGTTTAGGGTTTAGGGTTTAGGGTTCAGGGCTAAGGGGTTAGGTATTAGCATTAGCATTTAAGGTTTAGGGTCTAGGGTTCAGGGTTTAGGGTTTAGGTATTACGATGTAAGGTTTACGGTTTAAGGTTCAGGGTCTAGGGTTTGGGTATTTAAGGTTTAAGGTTTAAGGTTCAGGGTGTAGGTTTCAATTCTTAGTGTATAGAGCTTCTGGCGTTTAGGGGTTAGAGGTGGGCGTGGTGCTCAGCTTTTTCTTAGTCTTGGAGGTTAGGGGCTTATACCCTAAACCCTAAACCCGAATTATACAGCTTTAGTTCCCGGAGGTTCGAGGTATGGTTTGGGGTTGATGTCAAGGACATTTTCAGTTGGGTAGTTACCGTATAGGAGCCTTATAGCAGGTCTATATACCTTATAGAAGCCTTATAGAAGCCCTATAGACCCTAAACTCCACATCTGTAGCTTCCTTTCTTGATGCAGTAGCCTCTGAAGGATGTGTTCTACTTGCATGCCCCTGACTTGATCTGATGGTATCGCACACATGAGGCGCTTGAACCCTAAACCCAAAACCCTAAACCCCTAAACCCCTGAACCCCTAAACCCTAAACCCTAAATCCCTCAACCCCTAGCCCCTAACCCCTAAATCCTAAACCCTTAAACCCTAGCCCCTAACCCCTAAATCCTAAACCCTTAAACCCTAAATCCCTAAAACCTAAACCCCGAAACCCTAACACCAAAGTCCCCCAACCCCTAAACCCCCAAACCCTAAATCCCTAAACCCTAAACCCCTAAACCCTAAACCCCTAAACCCCCAACCCCGAAACCCCTAAACCGGCCCTAAACCCCTAAAGCCCCAAACCTTATAAACCCTCAACCTGGAAGCCGATTTCGGCCCATTCCAGGTTCTCTAAAAAACCCTGAAACCCTAAAGTCCTAATGTAGGGGCCTCAATAATTACCTAAGGGTTTAGGGTTTAGGGTTTAAGGTTTAGGGTTTAGGGGCCCTGAACCCCTAAAGTCCTAATATAGGGGTCTGAATGGTTACCTACATTATTTTGGGGGTTGCTTACTATAAGTATAGTATGGTAATAAACCCAGAACCGGCCAATATAAGGGCCCTAATAATTAGAAGAGGGTTTTGGTGCCCATTGTACTGTAGTTATAATAAGGAACTCCCAAAACCCTATTCTAATTATTAAGACCCCTACATGCAAGCCCTAATCTGTGAAGCTGGATGCAGCTAGACCCTCCTCCCAGCGCATTCCTTCATCCCTCTACGAACTTAGCCACATCTCTGAACCCCTCCCAAATGAAATATTTCTATCTGCTTCTATGAGGTTAAGCTGTATTCCTCAATGAAGAGGCCCCCAACCTCAAAGCCTACACCCTAAAACCTTGATCGCTACCCCGAACCTTTATTACCTAAGTACCCTAAACACCCTAAACCCAAACCCTAACAGGGGCTACTTCACTAGGTGACCACATCTTCACCGCCGTGGATGCTGGGAAGGGAGAGTGCCGTGTCAGGGAATTTCTGTGTTCTTAGAGTTTGGGTTTCAGGCTTTTGGTTTTCAGGGTTAGTGCTCGTTATAGGTTTTTTACTGCAAATTGAACTCCATGGGATTATCAAGACCCTAAACCCTAAAC